ACTTGAAGAAATCTGTTCTCTTTAATTGAGTAGTACAGAGGATTACTCAAGTTAAGATTTCCACAAATTTAAAAAACTAAAGAACGTCCTCCATGCAGACTACAATCAGATTAAACAGGTAGGATTATTACTCACAAATAATTGGATATCCATCCCGGCTGGCACAAGCTGCTGCTAATATCCTTCCATTGTGGGAGAAATCAAGACAAAAACATCCTCGCTCTCCTGCGTTTAGTGAGAAGAGGTGTTTGTTTGGGATACGGCAAGCCTAAAAAAACATACATTTAAAAAATAATAAATTAGAAAACATTAAAATGCAAAGGCTAGTTTTTAATTTCAATTACTGTAGTTTTTTTTAAGTCCTTTTATGACGCAGAGAAAGGGAAAAACAAGTATACAGAACGCTGAAAAACCATAGTAAATTACTTTGCAAAAAGAGAATGAGTGCCTATGAAATTTTTAAAGTGCATTTGTTCTTCATGTTTAACTAGTACTTAATTCACCTAAATATGAATAGAAAAACTTCAATATCTGATACTCTAAAGCCGTCGCTGCCACATTGCTTCTATATAGCTACTAAAAGAATGTATGTCACAGCCTTATTCTTATTAGTGACAGCACTAATAAGTCACTTTTGTTAAAGTCACAAGCTTTTTTCAAGACCACAAGTACCTATGGGGCCTAGCTTAAGCCAGAATGTATGAATGCCCATTCTCTCTTTGCGTATCTTAAAATAATCACCCTTTGTGGCTGCCTTCCAAAATGTATTTTCAAAGTAATCAATCGGCCCTTATTGGTCTCTCATTCATTAGTACAATTTCTTCAAAATTTTAATGTTTTCACTCTCTTCTACCAGATGAAGCCCAAATTTTCTGGGTATTAATATATACTGTAGAAAATATCAGTTACGTTTATTTATCCTAATTCTATCTCTTCCAATCTTCAGTGAGCCTTAGTTCTTCTGTTTCTTATAATTCAAAAAGTTGAATTAAACATATACTGGGCTCTTACTATATGCCATGAAAGTTGTACTTTATTACAAATGTCTTTCAATATATTCATCACAGCTATCCTATGAGTAGCTATTACTAGCTAAGAGTAACCATTATTAGCTCTACATGGCTAAGAAGGATTATTCAAAGGGTCAAGCCTAGCTTAATGGACCTACTCAAAGACTGTTACTTCAAGGGCATGCTTTCTAGACAGGTACCAGGTTTTTCACAAATAGTACCAAGATCTGGCAGTACCTCGGGAGACAGCATTACAACCAGCTACTAGGAATGTGAAAAATTCAAAAGAATTTGTTAAGTGTCAATCGCGTACCAGACTCCATGCTACCCATTTTCTCTCTGCATCCTCCATCTGCATAATTAAGAAAAGGGAGAGGAGGGTAACAAGGAACAAAAACTGAAAGAAATGTCATGAGGCTTTATAACCACTTGCTGCTGCTCCTAGAGTAGGAAATGTAGTTAAGGAAAACTCTGTGCCCAGTCACCTAGGCTGAAAATGAAAACATTGAAGCCACTGTCATGTTCTTCATATTCTCAGGGTTTGACACTATGCCCTATCCAGAACAGACACTCCAATAAAGGTCCTCCAAAGCCTTGACTCTTTACCCTCCTTTACTACCTTGTCAGTCACTAAATCATGCTCGTTCTTACTTTCTGTCTCTGGTATTCATTAGACCCTCATCAACTCACACATCAATGACTGTCATCTAATTCTGATGTTACTACTTCAAGATCTCCCCATGCTACTGCCCACATTAATTCATCCTCAAATACAACTGTTATTTTTCTCACTCACCTGAAAACCTTCCATTATTCCTCACATCCCTCACAATCAAGTATTAGGCTACCATTTGAGACACTCCACAATGGGGGCCTAATCTAGTACACTACTTTATCTCCTCTTTTACAAACTCCAGTTTCCAACCAGCCAAGCTTTTGAGTGCCTAATGAATACAACAGGTCCTTTCCCACTTATTTGCAACTTTGCCTTCATATGAAATACCCTTCCTTATCCCTCCTTCACTCACCCCTACCTTGGGCATCCTAGCCAGTCTCAAGCTCCACTGCTGAATGAGCCCTTTTCCCACCAGTGTAGTTCAGTCTTCGTATCTGCAATTCTCAAATGTTTTTAGTTTCGAGATGCTTTACATTCTTGAACATTTTTTTCAGAGGCTATTTGGAGTTTTCATAAAAATAAAATAAAAAAATGCTAACTTTAAATGTCTAGCTTAATAAAATCTAGATTTTCATAACTACTTC